GGACTCCCCGCCCCTAACCACTCTCCCAGGACCCCCACTCCCTATCAACCCCCCCATCTCCCTGTCCCCTGACTGCCCCGCCCCCTATCCACACCCCTGCCCCCTGAGAGGCCCCCTGGGACTCCCACGCCTATCCAACCCCCCCCCCCATTCCCCGTCCCCTGACCGCCCTCCCACCCAGAACCTCCGCCCCATCCAACTGTTGTCTGTCCCCTGACTGCCTCCCGTGACCGCCTGCCCCTTATCCAACTCCCGCACTCCCCCCCACCCCCTTACCATGCCGTTCAGAGGGACTGGCAACCGCGCTGCCCAGCTGGAGCTAGCCACACTGCCGTGCAGTCTAGAGCACCGGGGCAGGCCGATGGCTCTTACAGCTGCGCTGCCCAGCAGGAGCTCACAGCCCCGCCGCCCAGAGCGCTGGCAGCACAGCGAGCTGAGGCTGCGGGGGAGGAGGGACAAGAGGGGAGGGGCCGGGGGCTAGCCTCCCCGGCCAGGAACTCACTTCTGGGCTAGAGAACCAACACCCCTGATCCAAATGCTGAATTTCATGGCCTGTGCTCCTCTCTAATATTGGCATTAGATGACTGCAAAACTTTATCACAAACCTGGCTGAAGAAATCAGAAATATCTATTGTCATATCTAAAAAGCATCCAGTGTATTGAGTTTCCAAATATAGCCCTATACAGTCACCTGCCAGCTGAATTAATTGGGAGATTCTCAGTGCTCCTGCTCATAAACTCCTGTTCATAAACCACAGCAACTATCGATTTTTTTTTTCTATTTCCAAACACTGATCCTAGCCCAAGTAGCATATAATGTATATGTGTCCACTAGCATGTCATCCTGCTGGTCTCTCTAGACCATGGCTGACGGCAGCTGTGTTTCTGGCATGTGAAGCGTTTATTACTTTAATAAGCTGCAAGCCATTTTCCCAAACAAGCACCCTTGTGGTGCTGTGAAATGAACCGATCAGATTGGCACAATAGCTGCTAGCAAGTCTGCACATGTCTCCTGTGGCATAAGCCATTCTGGACCTGGCCTCAAGAGACTGCAAATTTTGCACTTGCCGCATCTTATGCCTGATTGAAATAGCAGAGCCATTAGCCATTATTCAATAGACTCGCTTAATGATTCTAATGAGCTCCTATTTTCATGCTCAGGGCTGTCCAGGAGCTGAAATAGCCACTTGCCCCTGGCACTTTGTCAGTTGTACTAAGCCCTCAACCCTCTGTGCTTGCACTGGGGCCTCCTGCATTACAGAAACATGGCTGGTGTTGCTGGCAGCAGTGCAGTAGATCGTAAACAAATGTTGGGTGAAATTCTTGCCCCATTGAAGTCAATGGGAGTTTTGTAATTTATGTCAATGGGGCAGGATTTCCCCTATTTGTGTTGGAGAAAATCTCTTTAAAACTTCAGCTAGAAAGGGCAACGCCAAGGTAAACCTCTTGTGACAGCAGTGTAAATCAGGAGCGATTCCATCAGAGTCCGTGGCGTTCTCGCTCTCTCTGCTCCCCGCATCTGAATGGTCTAATGTTACCCAGTGCACATCCCATGTTAGGGCATGTCCCCCATCGAAGCTAATTTTCTTTTTTTCCTCACTAGAGTGTGGTTCTGCACCCAACGCCCTGACCATCTTGCTGGCCGTGGTGGGCAGCATCTTACTGATAGGAATTGTACTTCTGGTTGTCTGGAAGCTGCTTGTCACCATTCACGACAGACGGGAGTTTGCCAGATTCCAGAGCGAACGCTCCCGGGCGAGATATGAAATGGTGAGGGGGGCTGCGTGGGGTAGGGTAGGAGAAGGTTCATGGATTGGGGATGGGGGGCCATACGGCACATGGAGGCTCATGATGAGGGTGTCAGACTTAAAGGAAGACTTGTCTGACTTGATATGAAGATGCTATTGGCAAAACTGTGCCCTGCTTCACGCAGGTGTGCTGCAGCGTGGGGCTGGGGCAGTCTGGCCCCATTAGCTGTGTGTCCTCGTACTCTGGTTAATTGCAGCTCCATATAAGGGAATAACGCTGCACCCTGCATAAGGGAATAATCCAAATACTCAGCAGTATTTTGTTCAGTCTTCAGTTTTAATATTGAGATTACAGTAGTAGATGCCCCAGCTGAGATCAGTGCTCTGTTGTGTTAGATTTTCTACACTCACACATTAGGAGACAGAATTTACAGATTGTAACTACCCATTGCAGACTAGAAGTACTAACTTTGAGCAAGCCCATTATAGTTGCATTGAAGATTATCCTGTTACTTAAAATTTACATTGTCTTTTTGATGAAACCACAAGATGGTTTTTGTGGTGATTCTGCCCCATCCTGTTTAGCTTTGCCAATTGGAGTTGTCAATAAGGAAACGGCTTCTGCAGGTTTTCCTGGGTACGCTGCTTTGCCTTACCTTTGAACCTTAGCTGCTCTAGGTTCTAGGAAATTCTCCTAGAATAAGGAGACAGGCTACTGAATTAGATGGAACACTGGTGCAGTCTGCTACCAGGTTTCCTATGAAGACACCACAGCAACCCAGTTTCTCTTTGTATTTGAATAACACATTCCAGAGGAAGCCAAATGGAGATTTATCTCTGAGCAAATGTGGTTTCATATCAGTGTTACTGTCATTCATATTCTTTTCTGTTTGATTTTTTTTTTAGGCATCCAATCCTCTTTACCGAAAGCCTATTTCTACGCATAGCTTAGATTTCACATTCAACAAGCTAAGTAAGTCCTATAATGGCACAATTGATTGACTGCATATGAGAAATCTGACGCAACCAGAACTGGAGTGCTGTGGACAATTGCTTGACTTTGTGCTGCTTCCTGAATTGAAGCTGGAATCCTTTTCAGTGGAGAATACCTTTAAAGCAAGACTGATCATTGACAGAAGGCTGTTATTTGCACAGTAAAGACAAGTGGCTCAGCAGGGCATGTGCTGTATGATTCCTGGACACAAAGACATGCTCCTGGGCTCATTGACTCTGAGAGGTGCGGAACTCTTCATACCCCAGCTTTTTGGATACCTTAAACCCTCCAGCTCAGCGAAACAAGTGCCATATTGCAGCTTCAGACATATACCAGTAGAAGAGGAGACTAGGCCAAATTCAGGGGAGACCTTGCCATTGCAAGTCTTTAGGGGAAAATTAGCTTAAACGGGGTGTTGGAAGCAGTTGTGTAAAAAACTAGGACCCAGGTGTTCTGCAGTCTTTAGAATCTTTTTTTATATTAAAAAAATAAAACTGTTGTGCATATATGATGTTATCAGTATCGTCCAGTGTTTCCCTGGCATTCCCTACAGCAAATGCGTTTTTGGGAGGCTGCTGCTTTTAACTCTTGTAAGCATAAATGGATCCGTTTTAGACCCTTGTAAACAGAGCTATACATTTAGGTAAATCCAAAAAAGCAATTGCAGCCATGGTGACTGCTGAAAATGTCCCATGTCGGCTTAGTGCAGGGGTTCTCAACTGGGTGCGTGGGACACAGTTGTTGCAACCAGCCCGGCATTCCCATATTGCTAAATGGAGGGGCATCCTGGGGGAATCCTATGGAAAAGGTGGTCTGAGTATGGAAAGGTTCTTTGCCCTGTGTTATGCAAGAGGCTAGAACAGCCGGTACTTACAAGCGCAGTCTTCTTCCATGAGCGGTGGGGTAATGGCCTGTGCTTTTGGTCAGGGGCGGCTCCAGGCACCAGCACAGCAAGCACGTGCCTGGGGTGCCAAGCCGCGGGGGGAGGGGAGGGCGGCCTGCCAGTTGCTGTGAGGGCAGCATGCCTGCGGGAGGTCCGCTGGTGCTGCGGTTTCGGCGGTAATTTGGCGGTGGGGCGCTGAAGGCGCGGCACCGGCGGACCTCCCGCAGGCATGCCGCTGAATCTGCGTGACCAGCGGACCGCCCTCAGGCGCACCGCCAAAAGCCGTGCTTGGGACAGCAAAAAACATAGAGCCACCCCTGGTACCAAATGGCTGATGGTTTTTAGAGACTGAAGCTTCCTGTCCATGTCCTTACCACAGGGTTTAAGCTATTCTATCTGACTGCTGCAACGTTGGCCCAATATGAATGTTGCAAGAGGCCTTTGGCGGCGGAAAATACATAGAGGACAGTACAGCTGCCACTGTTCCGGTCTGTGTTGCTGACTTTGTCACTTTGCCCTGAATAGCTCATGCGAGCTAGTCAACGGCAGGAAATGTGCCAGGAAAAAGCACAAACAAATTATTTTCATTGGTTTGACTTGCTTTTCCCTCTGGAAATGGGTCGTGGTCCCAGGCATCCCCTTTTGATTTTTTGTTTTCCTGCCTATGTAAACAGCAGCACTGATTTTTCTCACCATAAACAACTCGCCTTCAGGATATTTACAGCCCCCTGCCCCATGCTCTAATGGAAATGCTGAAGGACTCCAAGAGACACTACTACAAATAGCAGAGCAGGGATTGCTGCAGCTCTGCAAATCACAGGCTGTCAGCATCGGTGGAAGCTGTGGTTGCAGAGATCTTCCTGAATGACTCATTTTTGAGAACCGAGCAGTAGGGAGTCAGGAGAGGAGGTGGGTCCATGCTTGTGGCTGGGGTGGGGTGGGAGGCGAAGAAGGGGACCAGTTCTCTGTGAGAATTTGGGGGGAGGTGGCTGTACAAATTGTGGTAATATTACAGAGTTGCTCATATGAAAACTGCTGTATCATAAACGTATGGATGGTCACCATGTCACACCAATATGTACCTGGGCAGCTAGCCCAAGCTGCCCCCCCATGCCACCATGGCTATTTTTAGGCACTAGCATGTGTATGTTGGCCCATGCTGGGAATTCCACCTCCTAGCAGCTATGCAGCCATACCCTAAGTGCCAGGGGATGGCTGAAAGGTCAACACTGCACCAGGGGCTAGGCAGCCAGAGAGCAACAGGTGGCAGCTCTCAGGCAGGAGACAGCAGGTGGTGTCTAGGAACCACAAGCCTGGTGCAGTGACTTGCCTCTCTTCGGGCTCCAGGAGGCTTAAAACACTCAGGGATGCAGAGACTTGGCTTCCTCTCATCGCAATCCCGGCAGTTCTGATGCTGTTCTTCTGCATAGGAGGGGGCAGAGTTTGGCGCGACTCCTTGTGCAGCAGCTCAGAGGGGACCAGTGGCTGTGTGGCTCCAACAGGGCAGTGGCATTGGTGCCATGGTGCACGAGGTCAGTCATCCTGTAAAGATCAGCTGATGTTCCAGAGGGCAACTCTGCCCTGATGTGCTGAGACTAGATGCCTTTTACTGCCTCCCTGCTGCTGCTGGCTGCACCAGTGCATGCCTTGCAGCCAGACAAAAGCTGTGCTCTGCCAAGGTGCCAGCATTGCAGTGCTCAATGGAGCTATCAGGAGGAGTTTTGTGTCTAGAAGTGCTAGTGTAAAGCCGACAGCCCCCAGTCGTCAGCAGGCGGGATCAACCGGGCACCTCTGGATCTTAGTGCATGAACCTCCACAGAACGAGCTAAAAGCCAACTGGCTCTTAGCTAAGGCTGGAGAGCAGACTCATTTAACTCTCTCTCTGAGTGGTCTCGGTGCCACTAGATGGGCCAGAACACCACACCCAGAAGGTGTGGGAGGTTACACTAGCTTTGGGCCAAAACCCAGAGCAACTGTAACCCGGGGTATAACATGCAACAAGCTACACAAGGCACCATTCACAAATGTCTGTTTCCAGTTCCCTGTTGACCTGGTTGTGGGAGTGGTTTGGTGTCTTCAGCAGATACTTGCCGGTCACGGTCCGGTACATACACAAACAGATTTGAAGTTTTGCCTTTTGGCCAATAGTGGTGCCTATGGCAGGCAACCTATAGGTGGGGGGAGTTGTTTTACTATCGTCCCTGAAGGTAGAGCATGCAGGGCAAATAGTCTAGCCTCTGGCCTGGCCCACAAGGACAGTGGCATAATGGACTCATTGGCCAGCCCTTTGCTGGGCTGTAAGATAGTGGTGGAGAGCAGTATGTTTTTAGCATGTGTTGACCCCTGGCTGTGGGGTCAGAAGCTCTTCCCCATCCCCCTCCTGCGCTCCCTTGCACCATTCATGTGCTGTGCAGCACAATCAAGATGGAATCTGTCCCTAACTTCCCTGTTCAGGATTCATTGCCCATGGCAGAGTTCCCCAGTGAGCGTAACGCCAGCACAGCCCTGGGTACAGGGGGCACATCGGCAGCAGGGCCTGAGGAGGTGGCACAAGCAGAATGCTTTGTTCAGCTGTCCCCAGGGAGTGGCCTGGCCCCGGGAATTATTGCCCACTGAGGAAGGCTAACCGCTGGGCAGAAAAATCACAGCACCATACTAATACAATGAGCAAAGTGTAGCTGTAGCAGTAGCTAATCCCCTCGAGTCATTTCATGCCCAATAGTTAGCCCTGTGACATCACTGGTTACAGGACCGGTGCAAGGATATTTTGCGCCTTAGGCGAAACTTCCACCTTGCGCCACTCCCACCCCTTCCCCCCGGAGCATCGCTTATTATAAACTTTCAAAAATGAATACCTCATAATGTGGCATTGTTCATTAGAATTAATACATGTTCGGCTTGAAAATTTATTAATTTCATTATTTAGTCTACATATTTAATGAAAATAAATAGCCTTGGGTCTCCTGCACGTGGCTAGAGTCCCTCCTGCCCCCCCCTCCCCGCCATGGATCTGGAAAGGGCTGTTTTGGGGATCAGAGCAAAGCTGGGCGTCGGGATCTGGCTTCCATTCTCCACCCTGGCACCAACTCACTGGATGAGTTACTTCCCCGTTCTGGGCTTCAGCTCCCCCCCAGCGCTAAGGTGTGAAATGGTTCCTTGCTCCTGGGCTGGAAAGTGCAATGCAGGTGGGAGGGGGTGTCTGAAGGCCTGTCTTCCCCACAGGTGTGAGGCAAGGCCAGAGTTCCAGCATCTGTCATGACCATCCTGGTTGCTTTACTCTGCCTCACACCAATTGCTGCTGAAGCCCCTTACTCAGAGAGCTCTGGCCCAGGGCAGAGGCATCAGTGTCATTCTGGGCCTGCTTTTCAGAGATGCTGAGCACCTGCGGTTTCCCCCCAATGTCTGTGGGAACTCCGGGGTTCTCAGTACTTCTGAAACTCAGGGCAATTTCCAATGCTGGGCCAGGACTGAGCCTGCAAAGGCAGGTGCACAGACAACCCCCCAAGCCACAGCAGATTGCCCAGCAATAACAATACAAGCAAGCAGGAGACTGAGAAGAGGCAGTTGGCCCAATGCTGGGAGTGAGGAGGATATGGCCCTAATGTGGTCACTAAACGTCTACCTAGTAAAGTTACTGGAGCATCTGCTTAGAGCATTATACAGAACTAGCATGTACATACCATAGGAGTCAACAGCTGAGCCCAGCTCAGTATTTCCAAGTTAAAAGAAAAGGGAGTAAAAGTAAACAGGGTAACAATGATGATGAGAGGGACTGTAACTATTTAGACAAGCTGACCTGCCCTTTGATAGGCTTGTGTATGGCCAAGCCGTGGGAATGATACATTTCAAATAGTAACGCCTGTTTGAGGCCCTAAATGTCTTAGGCAGCCTGACCACAGCTCCCATTCCTGCATGAAAACTAAGGCGGAAACTATTTTAGGGGCTCATGTGATGCAAAAATGTCAGTACAGGTCTGGCCAAATCGGCACCACTATGACATTACAACAGCCAGCTTCTGTGTTTGTGGAGCTCATAGCATAGCTAGGGGGTGCTTTTTTGGGTGGGGTACGGGTGCTCATGTTCAGAAGTGGATACTGGTCTAAATCACGATTGCAATCAGAAAACCCTTCACCTTGCATTTCATTCACTCATTTTCACGGTCCTAACAGTGGCACGTTTTAGATAAGGCTGTGAAACCGCCCAGTGTGTAGCTACAGTTGATGCTAATCACACCAGTTTGATGAGTGCAAAAGATCTAAATGCACAACAGCTTAAACCCTATTGTAATCTCCACCCTCAAGCAGGGACAAGAAACACCCCCTCCACCCCAAAGGCTGTGGGACTGAGGAAGAAGGCACAGCTTTTCTGTGTGTGTGGGGGTTCCACCTCCTTCCCCCTCCCCACACACACAATTACTGTAGTAGCTGAGCACCTTGCTTTCTTTAGCATCACCGTTCTTTACCCATATGAGGGTAGGGCAGTGCTATTATCCCCATTTTACAGATGGGGAATGGAGTCTCAAAGTGATGAGGAGCCTAAAGATTCACTCAGGTGCCTATTGGGCTTTTCAAGGGAAGAGGAGTTAGGTGCTTGAATTCCTTTGAGGATCTGGGCGCTAGCTGTAT